TTTAAGAGCTGGGGGGGGGGGTGGGGGGGGCGTCGTCAGGTGCCATGGTGGTTACAGACGCTAAACTCCCACATGGAGGACCGCGGTTCGAGTCCCAGACCTGGCGGACTGCTCTCCAGCTTTCCCTCTCTACCTCTCTCGCCAAATTAAATAAAGATAAGTAAAAACAATTTAAAAAAACCCGAACGTCCCTGTTACAGGTGACACTGAATTTAGAAACGCAGAGGCCCTTTTCCAGGTTGGCAATATGAGAGCAGTAATTAGAAAACTCTTCCTTTGGGGCCAGAAATACGGGGACTGAGACAGCCACCTCAAGTTACCTAAACATTATTCTCGATAAAGACAGCCTCTGTTGGAACCAGCAAATGGCCTAAATGTTGTTTCTGGCCTCCCATATTGTTGACTGTGGTTCAAATCCTGGACGCAGCAGCTTGAAACATGCTAGGCTCGTGTGCACGTGTGCCTGCCCAAGATCCCAAGAGGAGAATGGAGAAAGGAAGTGTGGTCTGGTCATCCTCCGGAGGGGGGTGATTTCGGAGGGGGGTGATTTCTCGCTTTCTTTCTCTCTGGTGAGGGCCCGTGCCCTATAGCAAAATCTTTTTTTTTTTTTTTTTTGAGAGGTTTTTGCTATAGGGTGTGTGCACTTGCCAGAGACAGAAAGAAAGAAAGACAAAAAGTGAGAAATCACCTCCCAGGGGGCATGACCATGCTGCAACCCCTTCTCCATTCTCCTCTCGGGATCTCACGTGCCTAGAGTGAGTTTAAGCCACTGGGTCGGGGACTCAAAGCGTGGTTGACTACATGGGAATCCAGCGACATAACCCTTTCTCCCCATCGTATTTTTCTCCGTAGGACTTAACCAAATTTTTTTTGAGAGGTTTTTGCTATAGGACGCGTGCGCTCGCCAGCCAGAGTTAGAGAAAGAGAGAAATCTCCCCCACCCATGGCCAAGCCACAATCCCTTCTCCATTCTCCTCTTGGGATCTTGGGCACGCACGCACACGCACGCGCCTGACGTGTTTTAAGCCACTGGCGCGAACCGCGGTTGACTACATGGGAATCCAGCGACATAGTCATTAATGCTACTGCTGGTGCCACGAGTTTATTCCGAAGATGGTGATCTTTCAGACCTGAAGCCATTTCTCACAAGCTTAGTAACCCATTCATGTTTTCATGTCTCCCACTGGCTCGGTGCTGGGCTGAGCCTTATACAAAAAATTTCTGACCCATCTAATGAGCTAGATTTGAAGTCACCTAAATAAAGCTAGTGTTGCAGGGCCTAGTCCCATGCCGCGTCATGGAGCTCTGCGTTCGGCAGAGGGTACTTTGAACCTGGGTTATGACACTACTGATTCTCCTTTAGTGACCTGTAAGTATGTCCCAGGGAATGCACTGCCTTATTTCCTGTTACATGTATAATCTTCCACCCGTCACATTCATGACTCCCCCTTTTTAAATTTTATTTATTTTTGGAGAGGTTTTTTGCTATAGGGCGCGTGTGCTTGCCAGACAGAGACATAGAGACAGAAAGCGAGAAATCACCCCCAGAGAGGATGGTCACGCCACCATCCCCTCTCCTCCATTCTCCTCTTGGGATCTTGGGCACGCACCCACAAGCGCCCGGCATGACTTTTAAGCCACCAGGTCCGGGACAAGAACCGCAGTCGACTACGTGGGAGTCCAGCAACATAGCCATTATGCTAACTGCTGGTTCCCCCCCTTTTCTGCCAGAGTGAGTGCTTTCTGGAAGATGAGAAATTGCCCCCCAACCAGAGGATGACCACGCCTCAATCCCTTCTCTTCACTGTTCTTTTCGGATTTTGCATATATATGCCCATGTGCCCAATATGATTTTCAAGTTGCTGCATCAGGACTTGAATTGGGGTTGGCCACGTGGGAGTCCAGTGTCTTAACCACACCACCTGCTGTCCTCTCCTCTTCCCATTTTGTAGGGAATAAAACGGAGGTATGTGGGTTCCAAGCTAATTCTTATTTCCCTACTCCCTCAATTATTTCTTGACTCAAGTTCTGTGGATCCCCATTTTAAAAGAACTATTTTATTTAACTATATTTTAGGTTTTTTTTTAGAGGTTTTTGCTATAGGGCGTGTACGTTCGCCAGACAGAGACAGAGAGATATAAAGTGAGAAATCACCCCCTGGGGGGATGGCCACGCAGCAATCCCTTCTCCTCGCTTCTCCTCTCAGGCTTGGGCATGCACGCATACGCGCCCAGTGTGAGCTTTAAGCCACCAGGTCTGGGATTCGAACCACGGTTGGCTACATGGGAGTTCAGTGACAAAGCCATTATGCTAACTGCTGGTCCCAACTGTATTTTAGTTTAATTTGACCAGTGAGAAAGAGTGAGAAAGCAAGCCGCCAGGCCTGGTACTCAAACCACAGTTGGCTACATGGGAGTCCAGCACCCTTAACCGCGATGCCACCTACCGGCCCCTTTTGCATTTAAATTTGACCAGAAAAGAACAGAGCAAGAGAAAGAGAAAGGGAGAAGGAATGTGAGAAAGCAAGCTGCCAGGTCTGGGACTTGAACTATGGTCAGCCAGGTAGGAACCCAGTGCCTTTAACCACCACGCTACCTGCTGGCCCCCACTTTTTTTTTTTTTTAAATTAATTTGTCTTACTTTATTTATTATTAATTTTAAGTTTGCCATAGGCTCACCAGAGAGAGCCACCAGGTCCAGGACTAGAGCCACAGTCAGCCATCTGGGAGTCCAACACCTTAACCACCATGCCACCCACTGGCCCCCGGATCCCCATTTCTAAAGCATCTTGAAGCCAGCGTGAACAACACTGGAGGCCAGAGCCCAAAGGTTTCACAAGAAACTGATCTTTACTCAACAAAGTTCTACACAAGTGGAATCTCACGCCACCTCGGCGCCGATCCCCAGCACAGCACGGTAACGACGGACAGACCCGGGAGCCCGCAGGAGGGAGAGGGGGAGGAGGGAGAGAGGGTCTGCGGAAAACAGGGAGAGAGGGACTGCGGATCGAGGCCAGTCTGGGTCCACAGCCCTGGGCAAGGGAGAAGGTGGAGAAAGCTGAAACTTCGTTGTGCAAAAACCAACCGAAAATAAATTAAAAAATTAAATAGCTTCCTTTAAAAAAAAAAGAAGAGAAAAAGAAAACTAGAAGAATCAGGCTCCCCTTCCCTGAAGGCGGTTGGAACCCCCCACCTTGGGTGGAGAGGGTGATACCAAGCCCATCAGACACCAACCTGTCTCCATCCCAAGACCCTGTGGAGGATGCTCCAAAGAACTAGATTCACCAGAAAATTAAATGGTATTTGGAGAAAAAAAAAAAAAAAAAAAAAAACCCCCCTCCTTTTTCTTTTTTTTTTTTTACAAATGGCTCCCAGAGACCTGCTCGTTTCACAGGCAAGGGGAACCCTGGCGATACGGAATGTGCACTTGGAGTAAAGGCAAGGCCTGCCCTGTCTAGGAGACACAGGCCTAGGGTGGGCGTGGGGCCTAGGACCTGAGGGGTGGAAGGAGCAGGCCCCAGGATGTAGGATGCCAGTCAAACCCCCAACAGCAAAGGGCCCCCAAAGAAATAGAAATCAGGGAAGAAAAAGAAAACTATGAAGGGGACCCCAGGGCCCGGGTTCCTGGCCAACTCGGAAGGAACTACATCCCTTGTGGTTCAGGGCGTCCTTCCTACCCTGACTCTGCCCCCAACCAATCCTGGAAGGCCCTCGAATTTGCTGCCCCAGTCTGGTGGGCGTCTGTGAGCCCATCAGGTGCTGGGATGAGCAGGAAGTCCCAGGATGACAGAGTTGGGGATGGGGATGCAAAACCGTCCCCCTCCTCCAAGTCACTGGGTCTCCATGTTGGCCAAGCATAAACGTTCATCCTCTGTCATCTTTTACGCCCCAGCCCCAGCCGTGGAGTTAAATCTCCCGCCTGGATCTGACAAGGGGGTTCTCCAAAGCAGACTGCCCTCAGAACTGCTTTCCGGAGACGCGAGGGGCAGCTCCAGCAGCCCCAGCTCTCTTTAGGGAAGAGGCCCCGAACCAGGACCTCGCTGGAACACAGGCGAGGGGGGAAGGGCGGCCGCTGGCCTGCCCCAGCTGCTCTGCAGGCCCCCATCTCGCTGGCTGGGTCGGGACAAGGACGGGGACACACTGGCTGAGGCTGCCGCCTAGCTGGCAGGAAGTGTGCGGAGCAGGTCCGAAGCGTGCGCGTGCTGACTGGGCGGCCCGAAGGTGGCCGTCCTCCTTCCCCCCCGCCCCGGGGTCC